AAGACACATGCACACATATGTTTATTGCAGCACTATTCACAATAGCAAATACTTGGAACCAACCCAAATGCCCATCAATGATAGACTAGATAATGTGGCACATATACACCATGGAATACTATGCCATGTAAAAGAGAATGAGTTCATGTCCTTTGCAGAGACATGGATCAAACTGGAAACCATCATTCTCAGAAAACTGACATAGAACAGAAAACCAAACACTGCACATTCTCACTCTTAAGTGAGTGTTGAACAACGAGAACACATGGACACAGGGAGGGGAACATCACACACTGGGGCCTGGCAGGTGGGGGGCTAGGGGAAGAATAGCAGGGGTTGGGGGGATTGGAGAGAGATAGCATTAGGAGAAATATGTAATGTAGATGATGGACTGATGGATGCAGCAAATCGCCACCATGGCATATGGATACTTACGTAACAAACTTACACGATCTGCACATGTACCCCAAAACTTAAAGTATGATAAATGATTTTTTTAAAAAAATGTGAGGCTAAAACAAGTAGAACTTTAGGAAGAAACAGATAAATCTGCTACCATAGTTGGAGACTTCAACACCTTTCTATCAGAAATGGACAGATCTAGTAGGCAGAAAATCAGCAAGGGCATTGTTGAACTCAACAGCATCATCGATCAAGGATATAATGGACATCTTTGGATGACTTAACCCAACAACAGCAGAATACGCATTCTTCTCAAGATTGCATGGAATAGTCATCAAGAGAGACTACATTTTTGGCCATAAAACACATCTCAACACATTTAAAAGAATAAAAATGGTACAATGTCTGCCCTCAGATCACAATGGAATTACACTAGAAATCAGTAACAGAAAGATAGCTAGAAAATCACAAAGTATTGGGGATTAAACAATACATTTATAAGTAACACACGGGTTAAAAAAGAAGTCTCAAGGGAAATTAAAAACTATTTTTAACTAAATAAAAACTAATATGATTTATCAAAATCTGTGCAATGGAGCTAATGTAGTACCTATAGGGAAATTTATAGTATTAAATACATGTAGAAATTAAGAAAGATCTAAAATCAATCATTTAAACCTCCACCTTAGGAAACTAGGTACATGCCTAAGGCATGCATAAAAAAATGAAATAAAGCAACATTATTAGTAAAATCCAAACCAGGAAAACAATAGAGAAAATCAATGAAAACAAATATGGTTATTTGAAAAGTTTAATATTGATAAGTAGCTAGGCTAACAAAGATATCGGTAAAATAAAAGGTACATTTTAACAATATCAGAAATAAAAGAGGAACCATCAATTCTAGTCCCATGAGCATTAGAAGGATAATAAAGGAATACTATAAAAAATCTTACACCCACAAATTTGATAACATAGATGTAATGGACTAATTTCTTGAAAACACAAACTACCAAAACTCACACAAGGAGAAATAAATACCTAAATAGAATAATACTTATTAAAAGTTAAATCAACAATTAGCCTTCCAAAAATAAAGCACCAAGCCCAGATTGTTTCACTGGTGAATCCTACCAAATATTTAAGGGAGAAATGGTAATCAACTCTCCACAATCTCTTTCTCAAAATAGATACAAATTAACATTTAACTCATTTTATTAGGTCAATGTTATCTTAATACAAAAATAAGATGGAGACGTTACAAGAAATGAAAACTACAGATCAAGTTAAAATAGTTTGAAGATATTTTATTAGGTGCATACATGCTTGGACTTGTTAAATACCCCTGATTTACTTACCTTCCTATTATCCTGTAGTAACCTTTTCTATCTCTAAGAAAATATTCTTGCTCTTAGAATTTATTTTGTCTGATATTAACAACTACCAGCTTTGTCTTAGTTTTTGTCTAATATGTCTTTCCCATCTTTTTCTGGGATTCTTTCAATCCTTGTCTGTTGAAATAAAATTCCTGTTAGCTTTTAGGCATTAAATCTGTCTTCATAGTGGTTAATTTTAGCATATGTTTAAATGTAGGTTTCTCAGTCTTGGCACTATTGGCAATTTGATGGGATAATTCTTTTGGCGGGGGTGGTTTACTGTGCATTATAGATTGTTTAGTAGCAACCCTGACCCCTAGATGCCAGTAACATTGTTCAGTTGTGAAAACCATCAATGACTCCAGCCATTGCTAGTTGTCCTCTGTGAGCAGCATTTTCCCTGATTGAGAATCACTAACTATTTAGTATTAACAGATGAATATTTTAATATCATTTTGGTTTATTATTTATATTTATTCTAGTCTTTTCATATTTATAAAGTACTGATTATGCCTTTTTAAATTAGATAAGCTCTTTTTGATACCCTCTAGAAATTTAGTGTACCACATTATTTATTCCCTTTCACTTTATACATGTCTTCAGCATTTCCAAGATTTGTTCCCTTCTTATAAAAGATCTTCCTCCAAAACGTTTTTAATGTGCTTCTTTTGTGTGGCAAACGTCCTGGATTTTCAGTACCTCAGGATATTTGATCATGCTCTCACTTTTAAAGACAGTTTAGCTAGGTGTAAAACTCTAGCTTCTAAATTATTCCCCTCATCTTCCTGTGTCTAGAGTCACTCTTTAAAAATATGGTGTAAACTGACATTCATTTCTTTATCTGTGATACGTTCTTTCTGTGCTGAAACTTTGCTATTTTAAGATTTCACCATAGTTTACCAAGCAATGTTTTTGAAATTATATACCTTTTTATATTCTATGGGGCCTTTCAATATAAAGTATTCCTTTTTTTTTTTTTAATCCTAAAGAAAATTATCTCTGTGATTTCTTAGCTATTTCCTAGGACTTCCATTATCTATACCTGTTTCTGTCCTTCATTTCTCTCAACTCTTCTTTTGTATTTCCTAGTCATTATTCTTTCTGGTTCCTTCTAAGAGAGTTCCTTAACTTTTTTCCTCTTTATTAAATTATCCTTTAACTCTTTTTTTTTTTTTTTGAGATAGGGTTTTGCCTTGTCACTTAGGCAGAAGTGCAGTGGCATGAACATGGTGGGCTCAAACAATCCTCCCACATCAGCCTGCCAAGCAGCTGGGACCACACGTGCACACCATCATGCCTGGCTATTGATTTTTATGTAGAGACAGAGTTCTCACCATGTTGCCCAAGGTGGTTTCAAATTTGTGGATTCAAGTGATCTTCCCACCTTGGCCTCCCAAAGTTCTGAGATTACAGACATGAGCCACTGTGCTGGCCTAGCTATATCATTTTTTAAATTCCATCTGCTCTATTCTTTATTTCAAGTATTAGATATTTCTTACTGCTTCGGCTTGAATGTGTCCCCTCCAAAATTTGGGTTTTGAAACTTAATGGCCAAGAGTTGGGGCCTTTAAGGGTAATTATGTCATGTGAGATCCTCAATAATGCATATTTCAAAATAGCTCTAAGAGAGGATTTTGAATGCTCTCACCACAAAGAAATAATAAATGTTTGAGATGATGAATATGCCAATTACCCTGACTTGATTATTATACAATGTTTACATGCATTATATACATGCACACTATACCCCCTAGATATGCACAAATCATTTGTCGATTAAAAACAAACAAAAGAGTAAACTCCTCAATGAGACTTTCCTTGGCTAGCTTTTCTAAAAATGAAAGAATGGAAGGAAAGAAGGAAGGAAGGAGAGAGAAGATGAAATAAACATAACAATCCTGCGTTAACAATACTTGACACTTCACATTTCCCTTATTTTTTTTCCCCATAGCACTTAACACTATTGAGCACCCTATTGAACCCACTGACTAATCTTTACTTTCTTTACAATGGCAGTGATTTTATATGGCTTGTTCACTGCTGTGTGCCCTTCTAGAATATAAAAGGTAGATAAACAATTCTGCCTGAATGTGGGACAAGGAGAGAAGCCAAGGCCATTTTCAAGGCTTGGGAAGCTGGCTGGACTAGGAGGTCAGGGCTATAGAAGACGCCCACACTTCTTGGAGACGACCAGTGGGTTGGTGGAAATTTAGGCTCATTGCTCAGTCATGAAGTAGAGGCAGGGGCACAAAAATGCAGCGAGCTTTTCTGAATGAAAAGAAACAAATCATGTTCACTGTGGAAATTGTTGAGGTTGTATAAAAATAGAAATAAAATAAGAACATTATCTATGCTCACATAGCCAGGGTTAATATTTTTGTGTATTTCATTTTAGATTTATGTGCGTATGTACACAATGTAATTGCATTCTGCTTTTCTTTTAGCTTACCACAGACATTTTTCTTATTGTAACTCTTATTCAAAAACATTTTTATCGGTGGCATAATATTCCTTTATAACAATGCATTTCAGTTTAAAATGCCCTTGTACTTAACTGTGCACATCTCTGATGATGCCTGTGGGATTTGTTTCTGCAGTGGGATGACTAGTTTAAGGAATTTGACCAGATCAGAAACATTCCTCTGGACAGGCTGCCACAGCAGAGAATCTGGAATCCCATTAGGACACCCTCATCATCAATACTGGTGATTGTTATTTTTCCTAAAGTGTGTTGATTTGATAGCTGAATCTTAGGAAGCTGTTGTTGTAGCACCTGCATTGCCTTGACTCCCAAGGAGGAGACCACCCTTACTTGTTCATTTGTGTGTGTGTGTGTGTGTGTAGGTTGCTTGGGTGCATGTGACCTTAGGAGACAGTGGAAGGCTGCGAGTGTTAGATGGACAATACGGGACACAACCCCAAAAAGGCAAGGACCAGTCACGTAGGTGTATGTTGCTGACTTGATCAAACCTGCCCACAGTCTGTCCCAACAACACAACTTCCTAGAATTGGACCATCATGCAGATATGACGTAAAGCCTCCATAGGCTGCCCAAGAAGCCATGGAAACTGACTTGGGTTCTTTTGCTAGAGACGAAAACAGGGTAATGTTTGTGTTTGTGAAGTTTTCTTCTACAGCTAAATATATTCCCCTTCTAGGATTATTTTATTAGTGATACAAAACCCAGAGACAGTCAATAACAAGGGGAAAATGATTTTTTTAAATGGTAAAAACTTTATTTACTACTTATAAATACATTGCAAGACAAACTTCTCAAAAATACTTTTTCCCCAAAAACTTAATTAAAAAAAATAAAGAAAAGCTAATAGGTAAGCAGAATGTCTTGAGACCCCTCTGCGTTTTCAAGGAGGGCTCTGTGCAGCATGTGTCCACACTGAGGGCTGCAGCAGGGCAGAGTCTCCCTGAGCCTGACTTTGCCAGACCTCCTGGGTTTGGCACCCAGGAGAGTAGCCAAGCCCTGGACGTGAGCTCCTTTCCTCAATCATGGCCACAGTCATATCAGATAGCATCTCTAACATTTCAAGCTAGGATTATCTAGTATAGATCTTAATATATTTGGGGCTATGTTGAATACAATGTTAACAAGAACGTAGCTTCTCTGCATATATGTGTGAATTAAAAAGAAAAGGATGAGAATGACTCTGAGGTCAACAAACACCGATGATTCTCTATGTGCTCTTAGTGTCCTGGATGGGTTCCCCAGCAAACCATCCCTCCTTCCTGTTCTGATACTACTATTCTTTTTTACATTGTGCCAAGGAGGACAAAAGATGAGAGATGAAAATAAAGCTTTGCCTTTAAAGAGCTTATCTTCAGAAATAAACTTCGTCTTGAGTTATTGAACTACAAAACACTATCTCCTGCAGTCATCCAAAGAACTGTGCCGTTGTTTCTGATGCCTCTGAATGCGGAGGCTGACTCTCCCTGTCTCCCTGTCCGTCCTACTCCATGGGGCCACAGCAGAAGCCATCTTGGGCCTTCAACTGGGCCATGTCTTCAGGAAGCTTCCTGAAAAGGAGGGCCTGAAATGTCTGCCTTTATAGGTTCCCAGAGTGCCCTAGAACATTCTTGGTCAATTTTTTTTTTTTTTTTTTTAAACAAGTAGGAATCCACCTTATTTTCTCCAATAGTCTCCAAGCAGTATGGGTTTCTTGCCTGAGGGTCCCAGGCCCTTGCTTGAAAAATGGCACCACGGAAGGCTGTGAGCCCCAGGAGTGTGCGTCGGGATGTCCAGATGACCGGGGTTTAAGGGTTTTACTATTCTCTATAAAGCGTGTGCACGCTGTACAGGGAGTGGGGGTGAAGTGTATTCTCTACATAGGCAACACAGCTGCCTAAGTCATGAAGGCGGTGGTCAGCCGCTCCGGCTAACATGTGTTAAGCATTCAGTGGTGGGGGGGGGATAAATCTGGGTGCTGTGCTCGAGGCTCTGAGTATTTTGATAGGAAGCGACAAGAAAACTCAAACTGCTTTTGGCTGACTACTGGAAAGTGAAAAGATGCTCGAGTTTGCCATTCGAAGAAACCATAGGCATTTCAAAAACCTCTTTCTAAACTTTGGTTTAAAAAACATATCAGTTCACCACAAACAGAAATATAAATCAAGGCTGTAGCCAGCTGCTGGTCATGTCCTTGGCAGTCTTTTGTGCAAAATAAGGCATATTTGAGCTCCACATTAACTGAAACAAAAAGAAAAAGAAATATATTGAAATAATTCCCCCAAAATCATAAGAGCCGGACTCTCGCCCTGAGATATCCAGCATAGCCTGCAGACTAATGGCACTGGGTCGGCACGTGCAGTGCTGGGGTTGCAACCCACATTTTTAAACAAAGCCAAGAGTACTGTATGTGCTCACAGTGTTCACTGTCAAAGAGTTACCCTCAGATTAGAATTACTGTTTCTAACTTGTAAGGAAAAAAGAATCCCTTATAACTAAATATGTAAATTTCTTCTGCTTACTAAATGTGTCTTAATAAAACGAAAGAAAATATATTTATTCATTTCCCCCAATGGTTCCCTCACTGATTAAAAGAAAAAAGAATACTAGATATGATAGCATTCTTTAAAATGATCATTTAAAATTTTATTTTTCCATCAGATTTAAATGAGGTTTATTAAAATTGTATTAGCCACAGACTAATATATATTCATAATATATTTTATGGGAAAAAAATAGCCACATGTTCAGACTAATGCTCTCGCAACTGAGCTATTTCAGCTGTCTCCTATTAACATCTTTAATCCAGCAGATCCTTTTGGATTAAAACAGTTTCCCTGTGAGGATAAACAGATCACCATACTTCACAGGTAAAGCTTAACTGAAAATCTTCACTTTGTGTGTGGATGAATGACAGCTTAGGTGCTGTGAGTTCTGTGAGATAAAGCAGGGCATCCTGAGGTGCCCTGGCTGGCCTCTTTCCCCACGCTTGTTTGGTTGGGTTGATGGGGTCTCCCTCTCCCTGCACCCTTCTGATGGCTCCATCCTATTTGCTTGGCTCTTTCTGGCCCTGAGCTGAAGCTCCTGGGTTTGCAAGCCTGGGGAAGGGCCAGTGGCTACGCCTACCCCCCGAGGCTGGTCCCAGGACAGTGAGGCCCGGGAGCTCCAGGCTGCCCCTCCTGAGTGCTCACCCTTGGCAGGCATCTACTTGCTCTGCGTGCTGTAGCAATGCACGTCCTCCTTCCCCTTGGTGGTGTAGCCTGGGAGAGGCTGCCCGTACTTATCCACACACCAGCAGAAGCCCCGCTTCCTGCCTTTGGAAGGGCGACACTGTGAGAGAGAAACAGAAGACAGAGGGGTGAATGGCCCTGGGTATTGCGTCAGGTCGGTTGTCAGGGCCCACAAAGGTTTGCCAGCATGACTCTGCTATGCTGACAAAGCACAACAGAAATTTCAGCTAAGGCTTCGTAAGAGCCACGCGTGTCTCAGCTGCTGAGTGTGTACCTATGCGTGTGTGTGTCTGTAATTTCCTTCTCCAAGAAACAGGGGGTGATGGCAGTTTTGTATTTCTAGGAATGTAAGGTGGATACCAGCCCCTGTAGACTCTCTTGGTGTGGGACTGAGAGCATCCCGTCTGCCCGGGAATGTCACAGCTGTGCCTTTGGAGCCCATACCCAGCCTCACGCGACACCTTCTCAGTAGGAATTTGTTGAATGAATGACTGATAGGAAATGTGGGTGTAAATAAGAGACTAAAATGGGAGTAGGGGAAGGCTTAGGCTCTCTGCCTGTGGCCACCACTATGAACCCTGGAATATGGTCACCCTGTGGTCACTGTGGCTCAGAGGGTCTCCGAAGGCCAATTCTGTAGATACTGTGATATCAATTGTCCAATCAGAAAGTCGATTGAAATAGTGCCATCACATAACACGAAGTCTACAGAAGCACATTTACTATGCTGATGTATAGCCAGGATTCTCACTCAATTCCTTTTCCACGAATGGGACTGTGTTGTGATATAAAGATTTTGAAAAGACTGTTGTTTGATGTTGATGACCCTCATGTCTTCTTCTCACTTGGGCTTTCTAAAGAAATGCCAGTGAGTTCCAGGAAGATGGCGGCATGGCCAGTTTGGAAAGCCTGGCTGTCCCCAGCATGGATGGAGTGTCTGATTTCATGTTCCATCCCCTCCACGCCAAGACAGACACCTGGCGTGTGCTGGGGATGGCCGGGCTCTCCAGGCTGGTGGCGCTGCAGTCTTCCCCCACGACACTACATCTCCTTGAAAAGCCCAAGGGAGACAGAGACATGGGAGTCATCAACATCAACAACAGCGTTTTCAAAATCTTAACATTGCAGCTGGCTCACTATCAGGAAGGTATCAGTAGGAAAGGGGAGCCATGTGGGATTTCAGGGTAAGTTTTTTGTGGTACTTGTTTGAAATGTTTCTCCCTAATGTAGCATTAACAATGTGTCAACATGTCCATTTGCAGTTTATAAAGGGTGCCCCTGGGCAGCATCTCGTCCACTCTGTGGGTGAACCATTGAAAGGACAGGAGTGAGAAATGGGTGGCGGACAGGCACTAGGGTTGAGGATTTTGACCGATCTGGCAGCACTGAGAGCAACAAGTCAGAGCAGCCCCCGGTCCCCCCTCCTGAGACTGGCACCGAGTCCTGGGCACTGGCGCTGCACAGGCTCAGGGTTAGAGCTATGGCCAGAAGAGCCTGGAGGCTGGCGAGGTGGGTTTCTCTTCTGTGTCAACAGAACCAGAAGAGGAAGAAAACATGCCGAGGACCTCACTCACCTGCTTTTTCTTATAAAATCCCTTCCTGTCGCAGTTGGGAATGTGGATACCCCTGGGACTCAGCACGTTGAGGAACTTCAGGTGGTTCAGTGTGTCTTCCATTTCTCTACGGCAGGGACCCTGGGGATCAGGAAGGGCCAGAGCAACAGAGTCATGGTTATTACTCTAGAATAGGTGCTTTAAAAATCTTACAATGCCACACAACTACCAAAAGTGGGACCTGTAATATGTTCCTCAGATACCTTATGTCTGATTTAGCAAGAAAGTACCCCTAAGAAGCTAAACATCACTCCCTGTCTCTTTTGCTCTTCCCAGAGTAAGGCACAGCAGCTGGTATAGAACCAATAACAGGCTAATAAGCATAGAGGATGAGTAAATAATATAAAAGTATCTTCATGAGAATACATTTCATTATCTGCAGATGTCTTTATGACATCCCATGTGCTTCTAGGTTTGTTATTTCAGCTTGATCCTCATAAGATTCTCCAAAAGGGTCAATATTCTTTATGCAAGGAGAGGAGAGAGGTGGGACACAGTGGAGCTAGGGACTGCCCACACATCAGAGAGATGCTGGGGCTTGTCAAGTAAGAATTGCCCTCGAGAGGCTCTGAGTACCCAGGCTTGACAGGTCTTGCCCTCCTACTTTAACAAGAGGAAAAACTCTCACATATTCTGTCTCCCGCCTGGACTCGGAGGAGAAGTTCTGGGTATCTGTACTCTGAGACTCATAGTCGACTCTGTAGCGCTGGCTGTCTTTAGCATGCCCTTTCTTGATGATGCCCATCTTTGAATGGTGGGGCTGGGACTTGGGATCAGACACCCGGTGCGTGCTGGAGACGGACAGGCTTTCCACACTGCCGATGCTGTGATCTTCCTCCGACTCACTAGCATTTCCTTGAAAAGCCCAAGGGAGACAAACACATGGGAGTCATCAACATCTATCAACAGTCTTTTTAAAATACTAACGTTGCAAGCAGGTCACATGTAAATGACATTAGTTAACAATTCAAACAAGTTTCTTTTTTTAAAAAAATACCTCGATGAAGCATAATACTAACTGCTCAAGAAGTTATCTTGAGGTAGAACCAAAAGCAGGTCAATAAACATAGATTTGAAAGTCAGGCCGGGCGAGGTGGCTCAAGCCTGTAATCCCAGCACTTTGGGAGGCCGAGGCGGGTGGATCACGAGGTCGAGAGATCGAGACCATCCTGGTCAACATGGTGAAACCCCGTCTCTACTAAAAATACCAAAAATTAGCTGGGCATGGTGGCGTGTGCCTGTAATCCCAGCTACTCAGGAGGCTGAGGCAGGAGAATTGCCTGAACCCAGGAGGCGGAGGTTGCAATGAGCCAAGATCGTGCCATTGCACTCCAGCCTGGGTAACAAGAGCAAAAAAAAAAAAAAAAAAAACTCAGTTTCAAAAAAAAAAAAAAGTCTACCTGACAGCCTCTTCTAAGTAGCTGCAACCAAAGAAGGCAGACAAATGCTTAAGCGCCCCCGCAGTAGATGGTGAAGGCAGTACGCTTCATCTTCCACCGGCAGGGGGCAGATCCGAGCCACAGGAGGCTGCTGCCGCGCTGGCTCAAACATTTTGCAGGCAACTCCAAGTGTGGTCCTCCCACTGGTGGGAGCAGTGGCAGCCTCGGGACTCGGAAGAAATGCACTTTCTCCGTTCCGGAAATGCTGGATTGGTGGCAGCAGTCTGAGTTGTAAAAAACTCTTCTGGGAATGCAGACATTCACCTAAGTTTGAGCAGTACCGTCCTCAATGCTACCAGGTAAACAGGCTTCTATGAGCTTGATGTCCAGCTCAGATGTGAAAACTGAGTATCTGCCAAATGTTTTGCCTCAGGGGCTCAGAATCATGCAAGCACTTGGTGGCTTGTTTTCTAGGTCCCTGTTACATCTTTAAGACTCAAGGTCCACACAGACCCTGTGCATCCTGCTAGTTCCCTCCTACATGAGTCCTCCTCACCCGCAGTGAGCACAGGAACACATGGATGCAGATAGTGCCAAAGTCACACCCACAGTTCAGACTTCTAAGTGCCAAAGAGCTCTTCCTTCCCTGGCTGGGGGTGGGGGAGGAGAAATCCCCCTCCAGCAGACCTCCCTTTGGTAATCAAAAGTGCTAGATGAAGAAACTCTGATCCTTAAGCTGGATGCTGGAATATTAACAGTTTAATTGGAATGTTAAGTATATGACTAAATTCGAGATTGAATCCATAGGCAGGAGTCTCTCTCCATTCCTTTTTCAGAATGAACTTGGAGGGGCTATAAGACCCCTATGGGGATCAAAGGCTACATTCAGAGCTCATGCTCCCAGGGCCTGTGGACCATGCCAAGCTCAGCCCAGCTCAGATCTCTGAAGGGCTTCAGCTTCAGTCCATAATTGAGAGTCATGAAATTCCTCTACTACAACAAGCAGGGCTATAACGTCTAACCCTAGCAGGGAGCTCAGGTGGCCCATTTGCTCCACAGTCTATTCTAGAAAGCTACCAGGGGCTGCAATGATTTGGCTGCAGATGCTCTGCTATCCCCTGGAAGTGGCTGCTAGTAGGTCGCTCACTAGTAGGAAAGTCCCTCTCTTCTCTGGGTCTCAGTTTCCTCACCTGCCAAACAGCTTACTGAGGTCCTGCTGCAAAGTTCCCCAAAGGGTTCTGTGCCTTGGGAAGCACACATTTCCAGGGTCCAGCCCAGAGCCTCACAGAGTAGGTTCCTACCTGCTAGGATTTGGTTTCAATTTCTTTTAATCTTAGCTTTTTTTTTTTTTCTTTTTCAAGAAAATACTGACATAAAAGAGATACTAAGAATGTAAATATTCTAAGAACGTGTAAATAAACAGATTTACGTTTCTTTTAGAAGAACCTTGAGTAATTTCTTAAATTTCCTCAGTTTCTTCTTAATGCCTGGGCTGCAGACTAGCACATGAAAACAGTTCTATTTAAAGCAACAGATAATTGTGACTTTTGACTGTCATAAGTTTACCTTTTTGTCAAATGGATTCTAGAAGTCACTTATATCTTTTTAGAATCTTACAACCCACATCAACCTATTCTACAGAGCTACTAAGGTGGTAATCGTAATGATTGCTAAAGCCTAGGAATGACAGTGTATATCAGTATTTCTAAGATCACTTTTTGAATACCCCCAAATGCACAATAATGTACATTTGGCAAATGAAATAACTTTGCCCTAAGGGACAAACGTCTCCAGCAGCTCTAACAGCTGAGCAGACCCATTGTGCGATTAGGCATCTGGAATCTTCCCTTTCTACCAATCCAGCATTTCTCAGGGATTAACAGAGCCAGTCTTGCTTAGCAAGGAAATTGCTTTACCTGGTGGTGGAAGGAACTCTACAGTTATATAAATTATAAAGGGGCTGTTCATCCTGCTAACCCTAGATGGGGGCCTTCCCAGTGACATCTGTCCAATGCGATTGTTGAGGAGTTGGGGGGATCAGGATGGGGAGAATTCTCCCAGTCCTCAGCTGTGCAGGGCAGGAACTTTATTTCTCATATAACTAAGTGAGACTGGCTAAGAATGCTGGAAACATGAACAGCTGCCAAACCCATGAAAAAAAAACAACCCTCTTTTTTAAGGGAACAATGTGGTGCCCTTACCAGAGTTGCCGCCTGCCTGATAGCCTGATAGTGGCTGAGCCAAGAGAGTATCTGTCAAATGTTTGCATGTTTCCTCTTCTGGGGCTCTCCTTAACAACATCTCGTTCCCCCTATTTCAGATTAAGAAGGGAAACAACCCTAGCACTGATTCCAGTTTCCTTCTGTCATTGAAATTGACTTGGTCCACATTGCCCGCACCCCCCAAGCACCAGGAAGTTTGTTTGAGGTTGGTACAAGTGCAGGGGTGACCTGGTGTGTACGAATGGGATGGTACTTAAAGTGGCATGTGGGGTTCAAACCTATACTCTGTTGCAGCCTCTGTCAACGTCAGGTTTTCCAGCCGCAGAAGATACCAAAACCCGAATCCACTTTGTTTTTGGAACCAGGACTAGACATTGCTTTGCAAACCAAAAGTATTGCACAAATGTCGGTATTTTAAAAGAGAGGTTTCATTTCCTACCACGTGCCTGCCCACCTTCACCGGTCCAAATCCATCTCTCTATGTCCCCCATCCCTAAGCATCCCTGGGATTGCAGTCCACACCCCCGTGCTGGGCTAGGAGAATCTCTTGCGTCCAGGATCTTTCCAACAGCTAAGCTCTCCTCAGCCCCCGAAACCCTTAACTCGTTTTCACTGAAAGCGCTTTGCAATTTACAAGCACTCTGCAGTTGGAGAATCGAGCAAGTAGAGGGCCGGCTGGGGCGGGGGTCCCTTCGGCGGCTCCCTCACCCGTCGGGGCCTCAGTTTCCCCACATACTATCTCCAGTCAGAGGAAAACCAGAGTCGCCCGCAGCAGCACCCAGCAACCTCCGAGCCCTTCGGCGCCAGTGCTCCCGGTGCTGCGCGCAGCGCACCTGGCGCGGGCGGCTCACCTGGCGCGGGCGGCTCTGGCAGCAGGTGGGAGCGCGAGCGGCTGACGGCACTGGCGTTGACGCAGAGCCCTCGGCCGTTCAGCAACGCCTGCAGCGGGCGCGCCTCGTCGGGTGACGGCTGGCAGCGGAGGCCCGAGCCACAGCGCTCGGTGTAGACGCCGCACGACTGGCCCTCGCGCAGCGCGCAAGTCAGACAGCAGCCGCAGCCCGGCTCGCGCACCAGCTCGGCGCACCCGGTGGGCGGAGGCGCGCACTGGGCCAGTGCACGCGCGTCGCATGGCTCGCAGCGCACCACCGGACCCAAGCCCGCAGAGCTCGCGCCAGCCCGCGCCCCCGGCGGCCCGCCGACCAGCACCAGCACAGTCAGCGCAGCGGCGCAGAGCCTGAGTCGCGCCCGCAGCATGACGTCCGTCACTGGGGCACGCTGCTTGGCAGACCCGGGCGCGCAGGGATGGAGCGACAGAACGCGGCGCGAGGCTGTGGGATCCAGGCAGGAAGCTGTCGATCCTTAGTGCCCAGCCGCAGCGTTCGCATCTGGACGGCCCGGGCGCGCCTGCCGCTATATAGAAGCCAGGGTGGCCGAGGACACGCCCCGGAACGGCGCGCCCGGGAGTGGGGGCGGGGGGGGGGCGGGTCGGCGCAGGCACGGCTGCGGGGGCTGGTGCCTCGCCCTGAGCAGCCGGGGCCGAGCTCGGGGGCGTGCAGCTCGCGACTCGCCCGGGCACCTGCTCCCAGTGCGCACGCCCGGAGTCGGATCACCTTGTCGTCTACAGGAACCAAGATGTGCCCGGCCACCTCGGCAGCCGAGGTCACTTCAGCGCCCTCGGTCTCCCCAGTCACTCCTGGCCAACTCAGCACCCCGACCTCCTCGACGCCGCCGCCCTTCCCCAGTCCGCTCTCCGGGTGAGGTCGCCCTGCGGAGAGCCAATGTCGGGGAAACTGGCATGCACCGCGCGGCATTCGTTGTGTACCTTGCGGAGCTTTCTAAAATTTAATTCCGCTGGCAGGGGCAGTCTTGGGACAGTTCTGATTTACATTTGGGTCTCAGGGAGCCAGGGCCTCTCCCCCTTTTCCCGTCCACCTCACACCCCCATATCCATACAGCTTCCTTGTATACGTATATGCCCTCCTTTTAGAATGGAAAGACTGATTTCGTTGTCTTTTGCACTGAATAAATAAATAAATAATTGGACCTCTACAAAGAAAAAGAGACCAAAGACAAGAACAGACAGAAATTTAACCGTGGGGTTTAATTTACACCCACTGGCTGTTCACATCCCCAGGCGCCCACGCATAAGCATCTGAAGATGCTCCCGGGGCCTTCGCGCCTTTCCTGGCTTGTTTCTCCACGCAGGAAGACTCACACCTGCTGCTACAGCGCAAGTCCCCAAATGAGAGCGGACCGGCAAGCGAATGCGTCCTTAAGGCAGAGCTTTTCAAATATTTTAAATGACAGCTGTTCTTTTTGTTTTGGATGTTCTCCCTGATTATGTTTTCAAATAGAGTTTAAACCCACGACAAAAGAATAATAAAGGCAATAAAGTGGGCACTGCTGAAGGGTAATTAACCAAATAGCACTTAAAATAGGCAATTTCCTTTGCCATTTTTTGCAGGCGACTTCGTATCCCTGTACTAAGTTCTCTCTGATGCGTTGGGATTCTAGCTTATCTTTGCAATCTAAACACTTTTCAGTAGAGTTAAAGTTCGGGGGCGCAATTGCGCGCTGAGGTCGCTGTAATTCCTGTCGTCCTTCTCTCGCACTCGAGTCTTCAATTTTGTCTGCGCACCCCCTCCCTTCGGTGACCAACAGAGGACGCTGGTGGTCCAGGATTGGATTGAGGATTAACTTTTTCAAGGCGCTTTCCAAAGAGTTTGTGGGGGTGGAGTGGGAAGCGGTGAGACCTCCGCGGGAGGAGACTTTCCTGGACGCTGTTGAAATTGGACGCTTGCCTTGGGAGGTGAATAGGTGACTTGGAGGAGCCCTTTGCAGTTTGCCGTAGTAACAGCAAATCAGGAGCTCCTCCATTCCCCTCCAGCACGAAGCCTTTGGTGAAGTTAATCTTCGTGCATTTCTGTCTCTCCCAATCGATCTCTCGCCCAGTGTCTCTCCTTGTCCCTCTCCCTCCCTTTCTCTCTCTCGTCCTCTCCCCCTTTTCCCCTGTCCGCCTCTTCCCCCGTTTCCATACATCTTCCTTTTATACCTATATACCCTCCTTTTAGAATGGAAAGACCGGTTTCATTCTCTTTTGCACTAAATAAATAAATGATTAATTGGACCTTAAGGAAGAAAAAGAGACCAAAGACAAGAACGGTGGAGGGCCCCGGGGTGACAAAGGCCCAGCACCATCATTTTCTTATGAGCTCTTCCTCCCCAGTATTTAGGCTGCGCTACCCTCAACCCTGCTTACAGGAAACCGTGTCATAATCGTCCCGTGCTGTGTCCTTGCTCCTGTATCAACCCTTTCTACTATCTGCGTTGACGTCCAAGAACAGGATCTCTGATTTCACTGGAAAATCGAGGGAAACAAAGCGAATCCCCTAGGGTTACAACGGTTCCTTCAATACCCGCAGAGACCTCGGCTCTGAAATTAGACTCGGCTTCTGCATCCAATGCAATTAATTCTTGAGGTCCCAGGTAGGCAGTTCTGGTTAAATGCAACGTTACAGTGGAGCCTGGACTGCCTGCTGGTTAGTGTAGCACTTTTTACCCAGCTTTATTACCTGGAGCGTGGACAGGAAAGCTCGGAAAGAATGTCTTTTTGGAAAGGATTTTAAAAATGTATTTTATTCTTGGTTCTCTTCTGTTTTTTCCCCTCGCGTTGCAGTTGGAGAAGCTTGTTCAGTGCCGGATGGCTAGGGGGCGCCAAAGAGCCAGGCGTGCAGCGCGGCCTCACGGAAACGCTCAGTGACACCGTAACGTTCAGAGGCTATTCCAGTAACAATATTTTATATAGATTGCCATCACCTTTATCATGTCGTCTTGCAACAGCAGAGTAAATTCGAGGCAGTGACACAGGGAGAACTGTGTTTTGTTATTTAGCCAGGTTTTTTTTTTTTTTTTTTGAGACGGAGTTTCGCTCTTGTTACCCAAGCTGGAGTGCAGTGGCGCGATCTCGGCTCACCGCAACCTCCGCCTCCTGGGTTCAGGCAATTCTCCTGCCTCAGCTTCCTGAGTAGCTGGGATTACAGGCACGCGCCACCATGCCCAGCTAATTTTTGGTATTTTTAGTAGAGACGGGGTTTCACCATGTTGACCAGGATGGTCTCGATCTCTTGACCTCGCGATCCACCTGCCTCGGCCTCCCAAAGTGCTGCTGGGATTACAGGCGTGAGCCACCGTGCCCGGCCCTATTTAGCCAGTTTTATTTGATAAAACTGCAAGCTCCCTGCCCCTCCCAAAACATGACTGTCGCAGGAACGATGAGGACGGGACAAAAGTTATTTTTGTGACATGCTCCTTGATTCTGTTAAACTTTCAATTCATCTGGTTTGTAGTTTTTAACATAAACCAGTGTTTGGTGAGAAAGATGTTTTACCCTCTGGTGAATGGGCTTGGCCTATACAATTGCTAATCGTGGTAAAAGTAGCGAATAACCATATGAATAGATGTCAGGAGGCTGCGTAGATCTCTTTTCACTAAGGGAGTTCAATTGAACTGATTGTAATTAGTGTTTCCTGGGGTCAGCCTCGTTATTTTCATCACCTAAACCACTGGTTTCTCTGAGCCCACTCCTGCTGCTGAAGGGCACCTGGTCGCTGCATGGTACCGGCTTCCTTGCTTCCCTTCTGCCCCGGCCCTGGCTGGACAAGCCACGCTAGGGTCTCTCTCCTTAGGCTCTTCTGACAGCAGTACTGTCTCTCAGTGTTCCCTGGGGTGTGGCTACCGGGCTTGTCGACCACCAATAGACTGAGAACAGAAGGAGCCAAACTCCTAAAGGCAAGCAATGCTGGGGACCCAGTTGCCAGGACTCAGTGGCTCTCAGCCTAAAGCTTCAGGTTTTTTTTTTTTTTTCCCTCCTTAGGGGAGGTATTTTCCCTCCATCAGATTGTCCCGACCTGCAGGACGACAACAGGGGCCCGAAGGGAGGGAGTGGGGATGGATGGGCAGGAGACGCGAGAAATGGAGACAAGACAGGAGTCTGATCAAGTCTCGTTTATTGTTGCTGAGCTCACAGCTTAAATAAGCCAGGCAGGGAGGCGGGGCAAAGGAAGCTTGCAGTTGGAAAATTCCAGCCTGGTGTGCCTCGTGCCGCTACCAGCCTCGTGCCGCCTCGTGCCGTCCACGGGCTGGACCTGAATCATCAGGACTTGAGCCTTCCACAAGCGGCACCTGGGCTCTCTTGGCCCCAGGATTTGGCCTGTTGCTCACAGCCTCCCACAAGCGGCACCTGGGCTCTCTTGGCCCCAGGATTTGGCCTGTGCCGCTCCCCACATCAGATCACCTGCTGGGTGAGCCTCCCAGAGTTATGTATACAGGGGGCTTGGAGATGCTTTGGGGACCATCAACTGCCAGCATCACGGTGGCTAACACCACCACAAATGATTTTTACTCACAAATAACATCATTAAGAGTTCATCTGTCTACTTAGTCTATAAATGATCACCAAGCACCTCTATGTGCTAGCTGCCGGGTTTCACAGGCTGACTGGAGAGACTCATCAGAGACCAGACAGTGGCAGGCAGTGTGACAGCTCAGAAAACAGAGGGGTCCGCCCGGTGCATTTATAACCCGCTGGAGGAGTGGTAAACCTGTCCTTGTGGTCAGAAAAAGCTCTTGAGAGGTGGTGGCATTTGAGCTGAGTCTTAACCAAGAAGAAAGTGTGGGTATCCACGGAAAGTCATTCTGTGTCCCTGGAGGGATGAGGGGGAGGGCTCAGAGGGGACGGTGTTGGCATCATGCATGTGTCCTGTGGAAGGCAGAATTCTGAGATTTGGAAGAGAAAAGAAGGCGACTGGAGATGCTGGACTGGGATAGTGGTGCCTGTAGCACTGAAATCCGTGTTCCGGAGACAGGGCCTCCCCAGAGTTAGTGCTGTCTCGTATTGTCAGACAGTTTGGAGATGCTCGAAAGGCCTCCGGCTAAGGGACCCCGACATGTTCTGAACAGAAGACCAGCTCCCCTGGGACCCGCCCCATGGAAGGGAGGTTTCTGCTTAGGACAGTGATTCTCCTGTCATGGCTCTCTCTCTCACAATAGTGCTACTTTCGACCTGTGGGCGCCCACACCCTTGCCTACACAGTAATTTACATGACCAGACCTACCTGTCTGTCTCCTGGCCATTCAAACAGAGGCAATTCCTGGCTCTAACATCCACCTTTTTTTTTTCAAGGTCGAAACTTCAGAACAGTGAGAGAGACTGGGGACTTTGATCACAATAGACTTGAGTTTATTCTTACCTGTTGCTCAGTTCTCTCAATAACTTTCTGAGATCGGGCAGGTTCTGCGCCTCAGTTCTAGGACCAAGTAAGGGCACTGGTACCTATCTCACAGCACTGATAGAAGGATGAATTCTCTCTCTTTTCTTTTCTTTTCTTTTTTTTTAAAATTTTTGGTGTTTCTGTTACTGAGACTGCCTTTTCTTTGGGCTGGCTGTGATAAATTATATATATATATATACTTTAAGTTCTGGGGTACATATGCACATCATGCAGGATTGTTACATAAGTACACATGTGCCATGGTGGGTCGCTGCATCAAACCCCCCATCGTCTACATTAGGTACTTCTCCTAATGTTATCATCCCTCCCCACTCCCCCCTCCTCCCTGCTACCCTTCACCTAGCTCCCCCACCCCCCGACAGGCCCCAGTGTGTGATGTTCCCCTCCCCGTGTCCATGTGTTCTCATTGTTCAACTTCCACTTCTGAGTCAGAACATGCAGTGTTTGGTTTTCCGTTCTTGTGTCAGTTTGCTGAAAATGATGGTTTGCAGCTCCGTCCATGTTCCTGCAAAGGACGTGAACTGGAAGGACAAATTCTTAGACACGGTGTTTTCTGGTGTGTGGGAAATTAAAGTTCATCTCTGTGTTCACATAGCCACCTTAACAATCTTAAATTAGAGGTTTTATTCTCAAACGGGTCCCAGTGCACGGCCCACATACCTTGTCTCCTTAGTACAAATGTCAACATGCTTACAATTGAGTCTACCTGTGGGCATGACATACAGTCTTCAAACAGGCCATGAGTCTAATATGATCTCTTTCTGTCCAGTGAGGTCTTAAAAGAGACAGGAAAGATTTTAGGAGCGCTTTTCATTCAGCTGGTTTGTCCCCAGCACCAGGGTCAATCCTGTGCCCTTACCCAAGGGCATCTTTGGTGCCACTTCGAGCTCCTTTTCAAGAACTTTATATAAGTGAGATAATATGGCATCTACTCTTTTTCTCCTGGTTTCTTTTACTCAGCGTAATTATTTTGAGATTCATCCCTGTTGTGGCATACGTGAATAGACTACCTTGCCTTGTTCCTGATCTTAGTGATAAGGCATTCATTCTTACACTATTAAGTATGATGCTAGCTGTAGAATTTTTTATTAATGCTTTTATTAAATTCAGAAAGTTTCCTACTGTTTTTGATTTGATGAGAAGTTTTATCATGCTTGGATGTTGAATTTTGTTAATTTTTTGGTATCGATATGATCATATTCTTTCAAGTCTTAATATAATAAATGCCATTAATTTAATTTGGAATATTGAGTCAATCTTACATTCCTAGGATTAACCTCCTTGGTTATGGTGGAATTAAAAAAATACATATTGCTATTTTTGAATTGGTAAGAATTTGTTTAGGATTTTTATTTGTATACTCACTTGGGATAGTGGTTTGTATTTTGCTTTTTTGGTTTTATTTTGTTTGTAACTGACATAAAATAGTTACATATTTATGGGGTACAGTGTAATGTTTTACTACGTATATAAATTGTATAATTTTTGAGTTTGTTATAAAGACTATCCTGGCCTCATCCCCCACAGTCTGTTGGGGATATGTTATCTTATTTCCTAGAAGACAATGTGTATAATTTGTGTAATTTTCTTCTCTTTAGAATTCACTAGTGGAAGCAGTGAGAAGGCTGGGGTACAGGCTTGCTCCCGAGACCCACCCAGGTACTTGGATGCACCTGCAGCCTGAGAGGAGTGGGGATCAGGGTGCTGGGAGGGATTTCCAGGCACACATCCCCTGTGCCTCAGGGGAGTTGCTGGAAGTCAAAAGCAGGTCTTTCTCTTCCCAAACCTGGGCTAGTTCTCAGGTGTAACAGGCACCAGGAGTGAGGCTCTGATCAGGCGCCCGGGTGTGAGTCCTCAGGCCTCTCTTGCTTCCTCTTCATACTACACCTTTTGGAACCCAAGAACTTTCTGCCAAAGGACCTGTCAGAAAGCAGAGGAAATGTAAGCTCCTCTCAGAGAAAAGAGAAGATACCAAGAAGCCCAGGGCAACAGACTGTGGCTAGATGAATGTGTCATATATACTGATGGGGCTCAAAGAATGATCTGGATAGCCAGGGCATGGTAATCAGAGAGTGGGGTCCTGACCCTGTCAGGGCAGTGCTGGAGTTACTGCTTACGCAGATCTGGGAGTGGAAGGCTGAAGTGGGTACAGGACGAGGGCCCAGGAGAAAAGGAGGTCAGACGGGACAGGCTTGTAGACAAGGATTAATGTAGCCAGAGTTTTGGAGGAAATGACGCAGGCATTGGAGGTAGAATCACCCAGCAAAGAAGGGGAGTGGCCCTGGAGGAGGCCAGAGCAGCATCAGTGAGCAGTCACGGGTGAGGGGCTCCAGTAACCGAAGAGCGGCTCAGCCAGGAGCGAGAGTCAGCCAGACACAGGAGTGCACCTGCATCCTCTGCAGGTAAAGGGTTGCAGGAGCCAGGGGAAAAACAAGTTACAGTGGAGAGGCAGCAGCGCCCTGGGTGTGGCGGGTGGGGGCACCGATTCCCTTCAGAGTAGGAGGCAGCAAACTGCTGCTCAGGGGTCACAACCAGCTACCCATTTTCGTAAATAAAGGTTTATTGGAACACGGTGGCCCTCATTCATTGGCAGTGGGTTTTGCTATTTGTCGGATCAGAGTTTTCTTAGTGTTATGCTCTGAGAGGGTTACTGCAATAAATAGATGACTATATCTTTTAAGCAGAAAGGTCATAGGATTATATGTAAAATTTTACTTGCTGATGTAGGAGTTTATGAAAATGAATTTAAACCTAGTTTTAATTATGCTTATATTCTTACCCCCACCTGTGGCCATTCCATCCTATACATGACCCCAAATGAACAAACACCTGAATTGTTTATTTTTAATTACACCATGAGGCTATAGTTTTACTGTTTTACAAGACATAGGTAAAAAGCAAGGAGTTGAAAACAAGTAGACTTGGGCAGGGAGGTGGGACTGGGGCTCACTGTGGTCACAACCTCAGGTTGGAGGTTTCGCTTCTTTCTCTGCCAGAAGCCGTCTCTCTCACTGTGGACAGATCTTGTTCCTGAATGGACACTTTCAATATTTCTTCCTGGAATCTGATGTTTGCTGTAGATCTTATTATGTTTTTTGCTGTGGCTATAGATACCCTTGATCTGGTTAAGAAAACTATTATTTATTACCGTTTTGCTAAGTTAAAAAAAGCATGACAGTTGAAATGTATCAAATACTTTTCTCTGCACCTACGAAGACGAGCAAACGAACTCACCATTAGTTTATTAATGTTGTGAATGACATTGATTTTTCTCCTAATGTTTAACCAATCTGTCTTCCTGATCATTAGCAGCCCTGGTTATTTGTTCTTCTTCCCTTCTTTTCCTTTTCCTGCTCCTGCTGCTTCTCATTCTTCTCTTTTTCCTCCTCCTTCTTTGAAATTACTGCATTAAATTTGCTAATTATTTAATGTACGATTTTGGGGTTTACATACTTTTTTTTCTTGTACTGCTCTTGTTGACTCTTTAAGAGATGTTTAATTTTGAAATAATGTTAGATTTCTAGAAGATTTCTAGAGTACAGAGAATTCTCACATAGCCTTCATTCAGTTTCCCCTCATTCATCTGGCATGACCATAGTACATTAAGATTAAGAAATTAGCAAGGTATGGTGGCTCATACGTGTAATCCCAGCACTTTGGGAGGGCAAGGTGGATGGATCACCTGAGGTCAGGAGTTTGAGACCAGCCTGGCCAACATAGTGAAACCCCATCTCTACTAAAAATACAAAAATTAGTTGGGCATGATGGTGCATGCCTGTAATCCCAGCTACTCCGGAGGCTGAGGCAGGAGAATCGCTTGAACCTAGGAGGTGGAGGTTGCAGTGAACTGAGACTGTACCACTGCCTGGGCAACAGAGCAAGACTCCATCAAAAAAAAAAAAAAAAAAGAAAGAAAGAAAGAAATTAAGAGATTAACATTGGTACAAAGCCATTAACTAACTGGTGACTTTATTCAGATTTCAGCATTTTTTCCTCTGAGATCCTTTTTCTGTTCTGAGATTCCAATCTAGCATACCTTGTTGCATTTAGACATAATATCTCTTTATTCTCATTCAATCTGTGATTGTTTTGCATTTTGTTCTTTTTTAAATGACTTTAAGTTTTTGAAGAGTAATGATCAGGAGTTTTGAAGAAGCCTGTCAATTTGGGCTTGTCTGTTATTTTCTCATAATTAGACTGGGCTTACAGGTTTTAGGAGGAAATGTCATAGAGGCAAACTTCTTTTCTTCACACATTATATCAGAGTGTCAGCATCACAGCACAATATCAACGTATTACCAGCATGTTAACTTTGATCTCTGGCTACAAGGTTGTCTCACTGAGTTTTACTAAGGTTTTTTCTAGTCTGGTAAAATAAGTTAGGGAGTATATCTTCCCTTTCTTTCACTCTCAAAGAGTTGGTGTAAGGCCGTAATCATTTAGACTTTCTAGAACTCACTGTAGAACCACTGAAGTTGGAGTTTCCTTTGTGAAAAAATCTAAAATCAGAAATTTTGAATTTCTGATTGAATTTCTTTAAAAGTTTTAGGACTATATGTTTTCTCTTTCTGTACTTGTCAATTTTCGCAGGTTATTTTTCCCTGAAATTATTCTTTTCAACTAAATTGTATATTTATTGACTTGAAAGTTGGTTATAATATCTTCTTGCTATCTTCTTAATGGGGACAGGATCTCAAATAATGTGTTCTTTTTCATTGGTGATATTGATTATTTATGCCATCTCTCTTGTTAAACAATGTTGCCTGAGGTTTTCAGTTTTATTATTAGTTTTTACAAAGAATAAACTTTTTTATTTCTTTTGGCTCTCTATTGTTCTATTATTTATCTTCCGTTTCATTATTTCTGCACTCGCTTTTTATTATTTGCTTCTTTCTTATTTCTAAGCTTATTTTAGTGTTCTTTTTAAATCTTTGGGAATAGATGTCTAGATTGTTAATTTTTAGCTGTCCTTTTCACACACACGCACACACACACACACACACACACACACACGCGCGCGCGCACATTTGACAACATAATGTACTCTACAATTTTTGTATTGTTCCTAGGATGCATTGTTCCTAGGTCAAGTTTAGGAATCATGTTTCTCAGATTTTAGATAAGATCTGTATTTTTTGTATGTTTTATTGTTACTTACTGAGAGATAGGTATTACAATCTTCTACTCTTATTGTGAATTTGCCAGTTTATTCTCACGGTTCTCTCAATTTTTGTTACATATTTTTGGGCCATGTGAATTAAGTATGTATATATTTACTATCTTCCTTGTTTAGCAAATCATTAATCATTATAAAACAACTGTATTCATCTCTAGTGATTCTTTGGCCTTCTTTAGAATTCTTTGCATCTATTTTCTTCTGAAGTTAAACAGAACTACACTGACTTTCTTTTAGTTAGTTGTGTGTGCTACCTACACAGTTACTTACTCTTACAACTTTCAACATGTACCCAGTACATTTAAACGTGTGTCCTTTGCACAGCACATCATTAGATTTTGATATTTAAATCTAGGGATTGATATTTCACTCAGATATCCAGTCTACTTACCATTGCTGTACTTATTAATATATTGAAGGATAAACCAACTGTCTAATTGTGTGTTTTCTATTTGTCTGATTTTAAGGCTTTTCTCTTTCTTGCCTTCTTTTCTGGGTTGATTTTTCTTTTCCTGATTTTTTCTTTGCTTACAGTAACACTCACTCTTTCTGGTATACCGTTACATGAGATTGGTGAATGCACACACTTACATAACCGCAAGGCAGCGCCATTACAAAGCTCTCCCCTGCGCTGCCCATTCACACTCAGTCAGCTTCTCGCCTCCTCTCTCTGGCAACAACGAGTGTGTTTGTGTTCCTCCAATTTTGAATTTTCCAGAATGTCAAATAAGTCAGATCACAGTTGATCATGGTCTCCGTCAGTTAAAACAATGTGTTTGAAATTCATTCATGTTTTCCTTTTGTGTGTGTGTGTAATAATTATCCATTCCTTTTTAATACCGAAAGGTATTGGCCAATAACATTAACTTTGGATGCACCACAGCTTTTTTACCCCATTACAAGTTGAAGGACGTTTAGTTGTCTAAGCTGCATTCCAGGACCAGGCACACCCTGGGGGGGAATCTTGGAAAGAAAATAATGGGAAAAATAGGGGATTCCTATGTACGCTCCTTTAGCCTCAGGAGCCTTTTTTTAGGAGGGGGGTTTCAGGCCTAATGTGGTGAATCTGTGAATTCTTAACCACCAGTGTTGAACCTTCTGTGATTAGGATTGCCTTTGGGTCCATGCTGTAAGAGAAAAGAAGAAAAAACCAAACTAGAAAACACCTTTTTATAGACTACTTTGCCATTTGACCCTCCGCACGATTGGTTGCCTTTTGTTCACTAGATATTTTGGTTGTCATCAGTGATTTATGTAGCTATAGAGAGCCTATCCTAGTTAGAAGGAGCTTTCCTAGTTGATTAATTTTATGATTTTATAGTGCCTCTTCCTGGTAGTTTTGAAGTTTTTTTTTTTTTTTTTTTTTAAATCATCCTGTAGTATTTCCTAGAAATGACAATGAGCCTTCTTCATTTATAAAATTCAAACATTAATGATATGTTTTAGTTCAATTTGTCCCTTTCCTGATTTCTATGCTCTTGTTGTCATGTATTTTAATTCCACCTGTATAGTCTACATCCTAAAAATGTTACTGTTCTTGTTTTGATACAGACAGTGTTCATTTGAATATAGTCTCACAATTCTTTTGATCCCTTTCTGCATCTTCAATTTTCCATCTGTGATAATGCTCCTTCTGCCTGAAGTTCATCCTTTTTTACGTTTTTAATATTCTATTCTATTGTATTTAGTATTCTATTCTAATAAATAAGTTATTTCAGTTTTCATTCATCTGAAAACTTCATGTTACCTTATTTTTTTTTTTACCAGCCAGTCAAGTATCTTGTATAAAATGAAAAGCATGCATTGATTGTAGTAGTTTCTGGTTGATGTTATGTAGAAAAATGTAAGATTACTTTGTTTTTTCTGTGGAATAAGCCTCATATTTTTGATCATTTAAATTGAGTTGCAAGAGTCAGATGATGTGATCTATAGATTTCTTTTTTGTAATATACTGATAAATTATTTAAGCAATCTCAGTTTCTTTCTTTTGCCTTCTTTGGTTCATTTCATAAAATAGGTGTTATTTTCAGTTTCGCTGGTACAAAGTTAATTTCATGATTCCTTTATGTTTTCTGCACCAAGTCATTTTCAGCATTTATTCATTCTCCATCATTTATATGCTGAAAAGTGTTTTTATTAACAATGTATTTTTCTGTTTGCTTGCTCTTAAATGTGTAGACTTCTAGTTAGGGGTGTGTGTGTGTGTGTGTGTGTGTGTGTGTGTGGTGTGTGTGTGTGTGTGTGTGTGTGTGTATGAACAGTGAATAATGGCTTTGTAGGTTTCCTCATCATTCTTTCTGAATACCATTGTGGATCCTAAGGTTCAAGTGTTATTGCCAGTTTAGCGAGTGGAGGGAGGGAACTAAAGCTTTGAATAATTTTGGAGAAGGAAATTTGCTTCTCGTCTGTGTCTTTTCCCCTCTGGGTTTGGCAAATCTCTTTTCTTTTTTGGTATCAGACTTGACATGGCTGAGTTCCATTCCTGGTGGAGGGTAAAGAAGCATATTCCTGTTTTGTCTTTGGAGAAGGGCTAACTCCCCACCTTGCGGGTTGTCTTCACCTGCAATGGTGAAGGGATCCTCCAGGGAGGCCCGCCTGAGAGACAGATGAGATGCAGTCGCCACCTCCAGCTGCTTCTCCAGCATCCACCACTGTCTCCTGGGCGTGGGCCTGGCCATGGAGAACCAGCTCAATCCCTTGCCCGCTGTGTCCCCTCTGTGGTCATTTGTTAATTGTGCTTTCCTTTCCCAAAGTCAACAGAACAATGCACAAAGCCCCTTTCATTCTGCAGAGCCTATTTATTTGTTTAGATAGAGCTTCAGAGGGTTGGCAGCCCTTGCTTAGCTGCCCGCTGCCCATCCCAGGCAGGAAATGGAAACCTCCACACAATTGGCCTGTTGTGTAAAGCACAGCGATGATCATCAGGAGGTGGCTCAGCCTCCCAGGATGGGGGTGTCTGCTCAATATGCAACATCTCCAAATGCTCCCTAGTTACTGGAATCAATGTGCTCTTCCCTTCCAGGGGTTTCCTTAACAGCCCATGTCCTGACACATGGTTTTCAGCCTTTTCCTGCCTCCAGGCTACTCACACTAAACCCTCTGGTCAATGTCACTGTCACCTCTGTGATGGTCAGTGATGCTCCATGTGTCTGTGGGGGCAGCACCCAAGGAAGGACTGGGAAAGTTCTCTCCTCCCAGAAGCAAGAGTTCACAGGGAATCTATGAACTCTTGCCTCTGGGGGGAGAGAACTGACTGGTTCATAGGGAGTCATGGAGAAAGTCCCAGAATAGAAATATCCTATACCCCCACGTCCCAACCTTATAGCCCCCTGCCTGGGGATTGAGCCTAGCCCATGCCCTCGGTGCCCTGCTCCCTAGGTTTGAATGCAGAGCCCTGTTACTTGAGTTGACCCTGCTCTCACCTTGAATGTAATGGCAGATTTCCATGGGTTTCCAGCACCTCCTCTGTGCACACTGGGGCCTGGTCCTGGGGACAACAGCAGGGGTGAAGAGGGAGTGACAAGCTGTCCCTAAACAGCCAAGTGATACTGAGTGCATGGATAAGAGAACAGCATGATCCGTGGGTACACACAGGCCATGGGAGGCTGACAGGGAAGGATGTGGGTGGGCCCCTTCGGGGCGCATGAGGCACATAGAGCTCGGCGCTCAAAGGCTGAGACACTAATGGAGAAAAAAGGATGTGTGTAATACACTGACAGCTTTTAAAGTGTGCCCCAAGGCAGGTGCCTCAGCTAATCCACAGTCAAAACAGATGTGCGGGATTGATCCCTCTGGGGGTAGATGAGGCAGCACCACAGACTGAATGCTCACATCAGCACCGCGCATCCTAATTCTCATTCAAATGGGGTTGTATCTACTTTTGAAAGATGCGGAGATTCAGTAATGTTTTTGCAGACATTTTAGAGCTAGTGGATGGCGGGACCTCCTATCTCTGCTAGAGGGTGTCTGTCTCAGTCCATTTAGTGTTGCTATAACAATGCCCGAGACTACGTGATTTATAAAGAAAAGAGGGTTTTTCTGACAAAACCCGAAAAGCCTGCTAGACACATTCTAAAAGAGCTGTAACACTTAGGAAAAGAGGTTGATTTGGCTCATGGTTCTGGAGGCTGGGAAGTCTGGGAAGCATGGTACTGGCTTCTCATGAGGGCCTCGTGCTGCACCCTCACATGGCCGAGAGGCAGCAGGGGAAGCAGGCATGTGCAAAAGGCCAGCCACGAGAGGCCGCCTCAGCCTGCTGCAGCCTGCTCTTGTCAGGGTGAGTCCATTCCCGTGAGAACTAACCCAGTCTTGTGAGAATGGCATTAACCCATTCGTGTGGGTGAATTCTCGACCCAAACACCTCCCCCTGGGCTTTACCTCCTAACAAATTAACTTTTGGGTGACACACTCAAAATGTAAGCAGTGTCCTTGTTCTCAGGCACCCCTCAGGTGGGGGTGAAGGCTGGGCACAACAAAATTGGTGTGAAGACTGGTCCCAGGTGACTGGGGCACCTCTTCCTACAGGAGAGTCCACACGGCAGCTCCAAGCACTCAGCCTCCAGGGCCGTCAAGCTGCATGGGCAGCATCACAGGCTCCTGAGAGGGCTGGGGCTGCCAATGACATTTCCATTTCCCTTCAAGGCACAGAGGCACTGAGACTCTGAGGATGATGCCCAGAGGGAGGGTTTGGATGAGGTCCAGGAAGAAAGGAAGCTGACGCCTCTTTGGGCAGGTGAGGGAGACGGCAGTGGCTTGTGGTTTTAAGACCATGTGAAGTGAGATTGGACACTCAGCTGGGTCAGCCCAGAGGCTGGGTCCTGAGGTTGGTCTCATGGTAGCTCCTGGAGACCCCATGTGCCCCTTCTTCAGGATGCCTCCCTCTCCTCGAGGCCCATCAGTGTGGAGTGGAGCATCCACCAGGGCCCCCGATAACTCAGCACTGAGGGCACTGGGAATGCTCAGCAGGATAGTGCCCAGCCTCAGCACGACAGGCTTGATGGCCCCAGGAGGATGCTCCAGCCCCTCTCCTGCCATCTGTACCAGGGCTGGGAGGTGAAGATGGGCATGGTGCTGCCCATGCAGTGTCCTGGGTTCCACATCTGGACTTCCAGGCAGGATGGGTTTTCAGGAGTCCCCTTAGAGAACCAGCTAATTCAACCTCATTAACCAGATGAAAATCAAAGGTACTGGGTGGGGAAGTAAAGAGCTCCATGCTACAGACACATGGAGGCGGGAAGGGCTCCTCCAGCCACCTGGAAAAGGGATTTGGTATGAGTCCCTTCTCTGCCAACCTTGGGAGGGCTCCGTCCACACTGCCAGGGCCTACAGAATCCTGATGTCTGCTCCAGGTGCAACCCATGTCCCTGTGTGCATCCCAGGGATGATTCTCAAATACTGTTATGGTCTTGGTGTCCAGAGTCTCCTTCGCAGGTAAGGCTCACCTTTCTTCAGCCTGTTGGGATCAGCTCAGCCAGCCTGATTAACTGGCAAGGAGCTCTGAGCTTTACTGTAGAACTTACTTTGTTTTCCCCACAACTTTCTCTTTCCATGTCTGCAGCTGCCATTGTGTGGGGCTTCTGGAGGATGGGGACCCTGATCTCTCAGCTCCACCCCCCCACCACGCCCTGGCCTTGAAGCAAACATTACCAGGTGCACCCAGCAAGGCTGGTATCGTCTTTGGATTCTCTTTATAACGCTATGGGAATATAGGAAGATAGAGCTCTAAGTGGAGGGTAATCTTTGGGTGTTGGAAGTGGAGCCGCTCCCCTGCAAAGCCGCCCTCAGGTACTGCACGTGGGCTGTAGCAAGTCTGTTGATTTCTCATGGGGTAATGCCCTCCTCGATGCTTTTGCAGTTTACATAGTGCTAGACACACGTTATTTTTCTTCATCTTCACACAACCCTACCTTTTCAGCATCCCAGGGATCACCACAAGCCCCACTACCTGGTGCCCAGAAAGACACAGGACACCCTTGGAGTGGAGAACTTGACCTCTTTGCTGCCCTCGGACTTGGTGCAGGGTAGCCGGCGGCAGGTGCCGTGGATGGGGCTGCGCAGCAGCGATGGTGCCGTTTACTCTGCCCCTTTTACCGCCAAGGTTCTTCGTGGTCTGTGACTCCAGGGTTTGAAATGATCTCATTTACCCCACATGATAGATGTGGCCCTTAGAGATGAGGAGTTCAGTTGCATGGTAGAGCAGCCAGAGAAGCCATTAAAAATAAGGCTCAAAATAAGGAGCAACCACAAAATAGGTGATTTATAGAGGCACATTAGCTTGTTTCACTTGAGAAGCGGCATTTTATTGGGCAAAGAGCACTGGGTTTTTACTCTCAGAGTCAACTATAGTTAGGGATCTGCTGTTTGTCTAAAGATCTCGTGCAAGAGTGTCTCTTTTCTTCCCTTGTAAAGGGATGAATGGGAATCTCCACCTTAGAATCTCTATATCATTATGAAGCTGGAAGTAAATAAGGGACATAGAAAACCTTTCAAAATTAGCAGGGGTTATCCCAATAGAGTGTTGGCCGATTTGTCAGCAAGAAGTACTTCATGAAAGAATATCTCAGGGATCACAGTTTGGCTGAATCAGGATTATTGTTTTGACCTGTATTGAGGAAAAGACAGGGATTTGAGTGCATTCAGGGTGAGCTGGCATTTTTCAGTTTTCGCCTCTCCATGCAGTGATGCTGTCTGCTGGTCCCAAAGGAGCTGTGTTTGCCATCCCTGACCAGAGCGTCGTCAGAGCCTGCTGCAGCCGGGAGCTGTGCTTGCCTAAGAGCCAGGAGCAACTGGTCCCAAGTGGGCATTACAGGGTTAACTCGTGTATCTGGCCAAGGCATGGAATCAAAGTAGGATGAATCACCTCTTGTGCATTTCTTATTTCAGCCCTCCTGCCACTTTAGCAGTTTCTAATGTTTAATTTCCTTGTTTCATTCCACAGACAGAGAATGCTGATTCACCCTGCAGTGGAGCATGCCTAACGTGTCAACAGCTAAAGGGCCAGTGACAGTGTGGTTGTCTGGGCAACGGAAGAAGTCACCCACACAGTCACTTAAAGGTGAGCTGTGAGAGTTAAGCACGCGGGAGCTTTTCACTGAGTGAACTCACTCACGTCCACACGGGGTGCATGTTCAGACTCACAGGACAGCTCCAATGATGGGGAAGGTCGGAGAAATTCTAGGCTCTGAGGAGTCTGAGGCAGCATTCCAGCTCGTTCCTGATTTCATATTCAGGTTGCTTAACACAAAAGCTTCAGTAGGAGACATTCAAACCCTTTGCATGTTACCGTCTGCAAAGTTTGAAAAGCATTTCCTTCCTTGGTGTCTCTGAGTTGCCCTCAATGCTTTCTTTCAACCAGCAGGATAGGGGACACTGCGTTTTGTGACTACTTAAGTCTTGGCATCAGGAATGGGGCTCCAGAAGGTGCTAGTGTTTCTGGAACGAACGATATCAGAGCAGGTGTCTTGCACTTGGCCTCCTTGTGGGTCGGTGCCTGGAGTTATGGGACAGGGATGAGCAGGTTCCTCTCGGTGAGGAGGTCATGGGCAATACGGGAGGCAGAACAGACAAAACTCAACCCCTGGACTATGACTGTGACCCTGGATGACCCAGAGGCCCCAGAATATATTGGGCAAGAGTATCTTACTTTTTCCTCTGTAAAGGGAGTAATGGGAATCCACACACTGTAGTTATTATGACAGGATGTGTGGGTGCGGGTGGGCAGGGGACTTGAAGAGGCCGCTGCATCCCAACATTTTTTCTGCTGATTATTTCCTTTAAATAACTTCTCCTGGGTATTGCTTATGAGCAGATGCCTTGCTAGGTGAGAAGGGGGATGGGCATGGAAATACATAAACCATCATCTCTGTTTGTGGAAGTCAAGGTCAGGTGTGGAGAGGGCTGAGCAGGTGAAACTGAGTCTCCAGGTTGGGGCATGACCCGGGGGCTGAAAGGGGCTCTCCCTCTACTGGCAGGGAGGATTCTCTTCTTTCCTGCTCTGTGGTTGCAAGTGACCGCCAACCCTTGCTCTGTCACACGGTGATGCAGTCATGGGTTGCCCACCCATTGATCTCTGGTGTCTGTGGTCCTCCTCCAGGGAGGATGCATGTTGGGTCATCTTTGTCTGTGATCTTTGTCCCTGCTCTGCCTGACCATGCTGCTGGTCAGGAGGGAGCCAAGCTCACAGATGTGCCCAGGTGTTTGGTAGGCAAATGCCTGGGCTGACACTCTACAACCTTGGGCTTGAGCTTTCCCACCGGACAGGAGCAGGGCCAGCATCCTAGGTTTGTGGTGAGGACTGGTTGAGGGTCCACACTAGGCTCCTGGATGTGGCCAGCTGACCAAGGCTGGGTATCACTCATTGGCAACAAGGAAGAACAGGAATTGAGAGTTAATCAGCGTGAACTTTTATAGCAGTTAGGCAGAGTAATTTCCTATCTGTTGACTCTAACAAAAATTGAGATTTGTGTTTTGTCTTCATTTTATTTTTCTAGGACCTTATGTATCTTATGAGAGGAACAGTTTTCAATGAAATGGACATTAAAACACACACCTGGATTCCCTTTACCAGAGGTGCTTTGAGAGACACCATCAAGGACAGTGAGCTAATGCAGGTAACTCAGGTAACAGGACAGTGAGTTAATGCAGGTAACACAGGTGACAGAGTTGGGGGCTAATACAGGTAACATAAGAAAGTGAGTTAACTCAGGTAATATAGCTAAGCCAGGTTACCCAGCTTACATAGCCCACGCCTGGCAGTGGGCTAACACAGTTAACTCAGGTGCTCAGCTTGGGCACACCCCCAAGGCGCCCTCCCGCCTCGCTGCAGTGCTCTGGTGGCTATTTACATGTGCTCCTGGATGTCTGTATCCTGGCATGAGAGGGGACCCTCAGATCCTCCCTCAGCCACATAGGGCAGACATCTGCCACGTGGCTTCAGCCGCAGCTGTCAGTTGATTGGCCAGCCAGGCCGTACTTGGGATAGTCTACCTGGTCCTCCATGAGGCCCAGCCCCTCTGACAAGCCTTTGGGGGCCTGTTTATTTGCTCAGCCTGTCTGCTGCTATTTGTCACATGCTAGCATTGGTGTGGCAGCCGCTTCCCTGAGTCCTAGAGTAGGAAAGTTCTGGAGACGAGGCCGTTGCCTATGGGAGACCCTGCAGCCTGGAAGGGAAGGTGCCTGTGTGGTCCAGCCCGAGCGGCAGAAACTTGGGTCTGCTCTGTGTGTTTTATCTACAAGTGTCCGCTTGGTTCCTCACTGACAGCAGAAGTCCAAGAGAGTCATAACAACTGACTAAACAACACAGAGTCTGAGCAAACGTTACAGAATAGGGGAAATTGCAGTGAAATTCTGGAAAAGGAAATATGCTTAACTGAGACAACGAGGAACCTTGCTTCTGAAGGAAGGGGTAGGGTGCCATCTGGAAAGTTCTAGAAGACAAAGCACTAGCAAAAGGCAAGAACATACTGTGAGCAACTCAGGAGAGGGATTCTGCATTTTTTGTTTGTTTGTTTTTTTAATCCATTAGGACAATCCTGTACTGAAGAGAGCGTGGGGCTCTGGGCAAACCCTCCTCTTCCCCAAATCTCTTTTTTTTTTTTTCATTTTGTCTGGAGTAGGGCAGCCATGGGTGAGATGCCACTAAAGCCCCTTCCAGGACCCATGCTGGGAGTTTTCTTTGAAGGGACACAGTGGCTGCTCCTTTCTGCCCTGATGGCTTCCTCATGCCTCTTCCTCCCTTGCCGGCCTAAATCATCTCCTTGGGACTTTGCTTGAAGTCGGCTCAGAGGCCGCCTCCATGCCTACATTCCTACTGTGCTGTAAATACAAAAAGATTCTTGCCAGATAGGGTGGAGTGGGGTGGGTCTTACCCCGTCCCAAGAGAAATCTATGAACTCTGACTCAGTGAATTAAGGAGAACCACTCCTCAGGTGTGAAGAACACATATGCTGCTGTGTTGAAGGTGGTGCCTGGCAACCCCAAAGCCGCCCCCAGGAGCCCCAGGAGCAGCCGTTGGGGGCTGAGCTGCCTGTGGTCCAGTAACCTGCGTCAGGCTGGCTTGCAGGATGTGAGGGCCCTCACGCTGGTTTGGCAAAATTTAGCTAAAAAATATTCAAACTTCCTTAGCGCAAAAATACTCTTTTTCAAACAATCTTATACGGAGCCTGAATTTATAAAATTCCTATATTAAAGATAGCATTTTGTAAATGCCTTCGTAATTTCCCATTGATGATGCTTACTTATTTGGAATTAAGCCAGTCAACAAAAATGTCAAGGATCTTTTGATCAAACTGGATACTTTATTTCAAAGTTTTCCCATCTTGACTTTCCTCATGTGGTTCCAAAAAATTCCAATTCATAAAGAGAAGTAGCAATATAATAATTTTTATAATTTTCTTGAATGGATATGTCCAGTTCTAAATTTCAGGGAAATGAAAGAACCTCCTAATGAAACATGCCTGAAAGGATTTGACTTGAACTCGAAATATCTGAGATGATGGATATGCTAATTACCCAAATCTGACCACTGTACATTATATGTATGGAAGCTTCACTCTGTAGCCCATACATATATATGACTATTACGTGACAATTAAAAAAAGAAATTTGAAATATACTTGTGTAGGAATAATGGAGTGTTTTTTAAAATTGAGGAAAAGTTCGCATATAAAATTCACCATTTAAAACATTTTAAGGTATAAAATTCAGTGACTTTTACATTCACACTGTTGAGCCACCATGGTCTCTGTCTAACTGGAGAACATGTTCATCACCCCCAGAGAAAACTGTTTCTATTCAGTATGCATATTTTCATTTAAGTTTTGAAGTAGTTAACATATATTGAAATGAAATGGAGGGAACCCAGAATAACCAAGATGGTTTTAGGTCGTGATAAATGCCATGAAGGGAAAGTGATAGAGAAGGAGAAGGAGGAAAGACACTTGATTGAAGACCCAGATAATGGGAAGGTATCCACAAGGTAAGGGGCCAAGGAAGGCCCTGAAGGAGGGAAAGAGAGGGTGTGCTGGGGCCCTGAGGCAGGGATCAATTCAGCAGGTTTAAGCGTGGAAATAAGGCCTGTGGGCTTGGAAGGGTGTGCCCAGGAAAAATGGGAGGAGCCACAGTGGGCTGCTGGGGTCTGGGGTGAACTTTAGAATCCACTGAACAACGTGGGAGCTCCTGGCCCAGGACCCAGCCATGGTTGCTGGCAAGCTCTGCAGGTGATCCTAGTGAGAAGCTGGGACACAGGTATCTGACGGCCGCTGACACATTTGAGAAGTTGATGCGAAAAAATGGTCTGTGAGTATCAACCATGAAACTCAGGAGTTTAGCATGGTTTCTTCTCAGTCTATGCATCTAACAGCTTTAAAATGTTTCTTTCTGACATTATGAATCTTGACTTCATGAACTAAGAAGAAGTATCAAGAAAACAAAACTATGCTGGGTGAAATGTGGTCATTAGCAGTTACCAGAAAAAGAAAAAAAAAAATCCCATTATCTCCTTGCTATTTTCCAACAACTTCAAAGATTTTATGACATTTATTTTATTGAAAATAATCAGTGCCCACTGGCCTGTCAGGCAGCTGAGAGGAAGGTATTGTCCCAGAGCCCCCTGCTGCAGCCTCTCCCCCGAGGTCCAGGGGCTGCTGTTCCTGCACCTGCTCTGATCCCTGCAGGCGCTTTTGTAGCAGGTGTTAGTGGTTCTGGGCTGATTAACAAAGATACGTTTAATTCTCCTGGTAGATGAGAACTCAGTGATTCAGTCTTATATGATGCTCAGGCTCTTGGGTCTAAATTATGGGAATTTGGATTTCCTTGGCTGTTCACCGTCAGAAATCAGTAGATTTCTGCAAAGGAAACCACACAAGTCTCCAGCTCTCTAGGTACCATCTGCCAGAAACGGGTTGAGGCTGCTTCTGTTTTACAAAAGTACTGGCTGTGGAGCGTGTGTCTGTCCCTCAAATCAAGGCTTTCTAGTCTGGCCCTGGGGTCCAATGTAAGGAGGAAGTCAGCTGTGAGGGGCAGGCCAAGCCTGTGCTGTGTTTGGGGGAGATGGTCAGGGACCCGGAAGCCACTCATGGAACCACTGCGTGGCACATCCTCCGGAGAAATCCAGACCACCTACAACCTTTGCGGCTGTAAGTGGACTATTTGCTCCTTTGAGCCTCAGTTTCTGAAAAAAAGGCCTAATGATAGAGTTTGCTCCTTAATTTCAGCTGTGCTTGTCCTGTGTTCTGCCACATTCACTGGGGCAGCTCAGTTAGAAGCAACCCTGACCTGGACCTGACCCCCCTCACTGTGGGGCCCTGGCCAGCTCACTTTTGGGATGGGAGCCCCCTGCCGGGCTGACCCACAGCTGCCCTCATGGGATTGGTTGAGTGACACAGCACTTTGGCCGCCATCCCTTGACCACGCCTGGCCCCTAGTGCCCTTGGGCGTCCTGAGCTTTTGGCTGTGGGGGCAGAAGTCCCAGGGAGGCTCTAAGAATAGAGTCCTTTCCAGGACTCTCATTTCCAAAGTCCGAACTGACTTTGCAATACTAAATAAATATTGAACAAAGTTGACCCTCTCTCTCCTGCCAGAATTTCCAGCTTCTTTTTCTAAAACCTACGCTAATAGCTTCTGAAACTTTTCTTCTGCAAGAAGCCCCCTCTTTTTCAGAATACTTGCTAAAAAGCTCGTCTCTCGTAAAAGACAAATGCATGAAACTACCAGGAACTTAGGCAGTCCAAGGGAGTCTGAGACGAATCATAACTTTGTAAGAAAATCTTCAAAAATATTTTTATTAGCTTCTTGAGCAATGGAATTTAGTCAGGACTTCAGACAGAGCCAAATTTGAAATTTGTTATTATTTAATATTGTCCAACACAAAACTGCTCTCCATTTTAAGCAATGGTTTAAATTTTAATTCTCTTTAGAGAGCTTTCTGCTTTCAGGACAAATAACAGTCCAACCCAGCACAGACTTGAGTAGGTGGTTGTTTTGCTTAAAATCCCCAGAGATTTAAGGTCAGAGATTTAATTCTCATTGTCCTCTGGCTCTGACTGAGGCCTCTCACCTTTAAGTGTTGCTGTTGACTACCGTCTACCTGCCTCCACTCAGTGCCTCCACAACTACCCCCGACCAACTGGAGGTGACTGGCTCTACCACAGAACCCTGGAAACCTTGCATATATCCACCAGGTCACGTGGCAAGACTGTCACTGTGGCTAAATCCAAATCTTTGCAGAATATCTTGTGGTCCTCTTAGACCATGGGATTGATCTTGAGAAGCTGCCATTTCTCAGTTGCTTCCCTGGGATTGGGGAGGCTGAGGTGAAAGTTTCTCATGGCCTCCTGGCTCCTGATGAGGCTTCCCTTCGAGCACAGCTACAGGTGATAAAGCTGCCTTGCCACGGGGTGACAGGGCGCCCCATCCCTCGTTCCTGTTGCTGCTGTTTCTGTGCGGTCCTGAACGAGGACATGGGGAGCTGGCATGTGCAGCTCCTCTTCTTTTTGCCGTCCATGGGCACAGTAAACTCTCCCGACCTGAGAAGGGCTCCTTGTTTCTCTGCCGGCTGAATCAGTCCTGTCAGCCTCTGCCTTGTCCTGTGCTTGACATCTCCTTTCTTCTGTGCTTCCGGCCCCCTCCCCGCGATATAAGTCTGCTTTTGGGGCTCCTCACCTGCTCTGCGGCATCTCTTCCTGAGATGCTGCTTATCCATCCTAACTTCAAACTGCGGAGTGGTCTGTCTTCTCCGTAGTGTCTTTGCTCTGTCCTGCCCAGCTATGGGCTGGAATCTCCAATGTTTCAAGTGAGGAAAGTGGTAGGATATGTCACCTGTGAAAATGGGGAAGCTGCCCTGTCTCCCTCAGCTGCACGAAGCTCCAGCAGGGGCAGCACACTAGGGGTTTCCTCTGAGTTCCTCTCCAGCTCTGAAAGCTCAGTATCCATCCAGAAGTGCACCAGTCTCCTTGGAAACTTTAGAAGAGATGACAAGATTGTTGGCTACAGGTGGCCAAAGGAGCCCTCTGTTTTTTTTTTTTTTTGGAACACTGAGGAAGCAAATTAAAATGCTACCTGCATACATGATACTTCAAATCCCACTCTGCTCCTGAATTCCCCCATTCGCAAAATAGTAATACAAATATTTATCTGTCCACCTGTGAGAGGACCCTAGAAAGGTGTCTAGGAGGACACTCTGCCACTCCAGGGCCCGCTACCACATGTCCTATGGGAAAAGCACAGACACGAGACCAGAAAAATCCTGGGTCTCCCTCTAGGTCCCTCCCTCAGTAGCTGGGAGAAAACCTTAGTTTTCTAATGTGCCATATGAATGTCGCATTAATAGCTAACTTCTGAGGTTTCTGTGAAGATCAGTGAGATTATTAGCAAAAAAATATATATGAAAGTTACCGGACTATAGGAAGTAATAAATGTTAACTGAATTGATGTCTGAAGTTGCAGGCTATGCACACCCTGTTGGCTTAAGACTGTTTAGAGATATGTGCTGTAACCAGGAAATAAGTACCTCAAACTCCCACCACATTGTGTGAGGAAGGCGGTGGGGAGCTGCTTGATGGCCTTCTGAGTCACATTTCTTCCCTGGAAGCTCATTAGCCAGAGTTGCAAAGGTCTGCTGCCAGAGCCATCCGAGGGCCGTCTGCTCTGCTGGGGCCTGTCCATGCCCGGGCAGAAATGACCCTGGCTGAAGCTCAGGGACCATGGCTGGAGCTATGACAGGAAGGGCAGGCTGCTGCTTCTGCAGAACCAGAGGCCCGGGGAGAGGCCCCCAGAGCTGAACACAGCCCCAGATGAAGCCCTAGTGAGGTCAAGTCCTGGCTGGGACTCTGCCATTGGGGTTGCCTGTGCGTGGCTGAGACTGCCTTTCCCCCCACCCCCTGCTCCTTTACTGGGGTTCTGCTGTTCTCATCCCTGTCCCCTGGTGCAGCTACACACATTTGCTCAGAAAGAGAGCCCCCAGCAGCTTAGAGTTCAAGGTTTTCTTGTTGGAAATGCACAGCTTTTGGAGAAAATAAAAGTGGCAAAATGCTAAATGCTGGTGTGAGCCGAACATGTGTCTGGAGTGTGTCAGGTGTGTGTCAGGCCTGTGTCCAGCGTGTGTCCGGCATGTGTCAGGTGTGCATCAGGCCTGTGTCCTGAATGTGTCCAGCATGTGTCAGGTGTGTGTCAGATGTGTGTCCAGTGTGTGTCCTGTGGGTGTCAGGC